CTGTTTGAACTGTTTCGGAAGATTCAGAGTATGAGAAACTTACGTAGCTGGAAATGCTACAGAAAGTGTAGGCGAAACAATGTGGACAGGAGTGGACTCTGGTTGAAGTTGAGTTATAGTGGTTTCTTCATATCTGCTCTCTCTGCTTTTACAGAGGAGGAAAAGGAAGAGAAAGAGGAGGAGGAGGAGGAGGAGGAGGAGGAGGAGGAGATAGAGGAGGAGGAGGAGGAGGAAGAGATAGAGGAGGAGGAAGAGGAGATAGAGGAGGAGGAGGAGGAGAAGGAGAAAGAGGAGGAGGAGGAGGAGGAGGAGGAGGAGGAGGAGGAGGAAGAAGAAGAAGAAGAAGAAGAAGAAGAAGAAGAAGAAGAAGAAGAAGAAAAACCCATAATATAAACTTACAATTAAGCAGAGCTCCCCTGAAACAACAACTACGGAATCTGAGCTCTGCAAACACCCTGATGAACCTGAGTTAATTCTAGACAGGACAGTGTGAAGAGCCTGTTGGTTTGCTGTTGTCATGAATTAGCAGGAAAAGGAGCTCAGAGTCTGACAGGGAATCAGAGAGTCTGAGGGTAAAGAGGAGGGGGGTGAGGAAGAGGAAGAGAAGGAGGAGGAGGAGGAGGAGGAGGAGGAGGAGGAGGAGGAGGAGGAGAAGAAAGACTGGGATTTAGTACAGCAGAATGTGATCAAGATTCTGAATGGAGGGAAACTTCTTCCTTCTGTGGAATGGTGTAAGTCCAGCCCAGAGAAGGTAAGATTGTCATCCTACAGTCTGACAGAAAAACGAAAGTCTACCTTTTTTATGGAGTCTTATTAGGGATGAAGTTGGGGACACTGGAAACATAAACTATTCAAACAGTGAGTTGGGAGTGGTTAGATAGTGGTCAGTTTAAAGGCCTCGTTTGGACTGATTGGTTGGTTGGATGATTAATTGGTTGATTGACTGATTGATTTTGTGGCTGAGAGAAACCTCTAACCTCAGAAGCATAGAGAGAGACAGCAAGGTCAATACCAGGGGCTTGCAGAAAAGATGAAGGAAAAACAAACCATAAAGTTCGGCTCATAATGAGCCTCCAGGTCCGTCCACAGTGAATGCTTATTTCTTTCGAGAGACTTCAGGGTCTAGGTATATTTCAGATGGAAGCGGTGGGGACTGTATCCATGGGAACTGAGCACGCAGCCCCCCCCCACCCCCCAACTGTCAACCAAGCTTGGTGTTTTGCTTACTAAAAAAAGTCCGCTTTCAAGAAAAAGAAAGGTTTATCCTAAGAAGTATTGCCTGGACCTCACTCTCTAAGCCACATGAATTCTCTGTCTTCTGATGAAAACAGGAAAGGATCATTAAAGCTCAAGTGAAAGGAACTTTATTAATCATCCTAAGAGAGAAAGCTTCAACTGACAGAGAGTAGAATCGAACCAGCTGTCCAGCTGGAGGAAAAACACAACAGTCTCTTCCCACAGAAGAGAGCAGACTTGGATGAATAGGCCTTTGTTTCGGCTCCTTTTTAAGGTCCTCTTTATGCACAAAGACACACATGCATATACACACACAAACACACACACATACACACATGCACACACACCATGTACCTCAGAGCAGCTTCCTCACTACCCGGAAAATAATGGTCCTGTCTTTTCTCAGGGCCTCATGGGATTTGTTGTAATTATTATAATAGTCATATCACTGTTGTCATTCATGATAGGAGAAATAAAGATTGTGAAAGAAGACACGGGCTCCCAGTGTGAAGGAAATGAGGGGTAAGTGGAAGCTGGCCTTTGCTGATCCTGTCTCTAGCCAGGCTCCCTGCTATGCAGCTACTCAGCTAGGCCACCTCCTGGCTGCTCCAGCATCCCAGCGGACTTTGAACCGTATACTTGTTGACAGGCCAGGAAGGCTACTAGTGAGGGCGTGTTTCACATTAGCAATCTATTTTCTAGATTCCGAAGCAGCTCCCCACACCTCGCTTCTTTCTGTGACTTGAGAGATCTCCAAGCTCTCTGAGGAAGGACACAGCTTACTGATGTGGCCAGCTGGACCTGCCTTTGACTGAACTTCCTCTTTTCATGTCTGGTAGTGGGAAAACTCACCGTGATAAACACATAACACAACAAAGAAACCATTAAGAGTTCAATAACTTTAAATAAGTTTGTAATTTTTGTTCTTATTTTTGTTTTTAGACAGGGTCTCTTTATGTAGTCCTGGCTGTCTTAGAACTCACTATGTAGAGCAGGCTGGGCTCAAACTCACAGATCCACTGACTTCTGACTCCTGTGCACTGGGATTAAAGGTGTGGGCCATCACACATACAATGTTTGTTGAGACCATTCATGTGAAGATCCTCTAACAACAGCTGACTCTTGCACTGTATCCTACCTCAGTTGTGGAATTGCCCACTAAGCACAAGGAGACTCTGGGTTTAATTTCCAGCATCACCAAAAGCAAAACCCCAGACTGATTCATTTCCTAGTCAGAGGCTCTAGCACCTTAGCATCAGATACAATTTCAATATCCATAAAAATATTACTGTAAAAACCCAAATATTGAGACCCAAGGGATAATGTAAACATATTACAACCCAATAATTTCATATAAATTCTTGCCCTGTTGCAGAATAGAAATGGGCTCATATGGGCTCAAATATATATATATATATATATATATATATATATATATATATATATATA